TGATAACGAGATGTAATTCCTTCTAAAATTGAGCTAGCCCGTGTTGAACGCAAATACGAAGCTGAACGCAAGTTTAAATTGATTGGGCTTCTCATTTATCTCAGCAACTTTAAAGGCTCTTTTGGTCAATGCAAAGACGTGTAGAAACTTGCATTTGTGCTCATGGTGGTCATACGCGTTACTGAACACTGCTTCACTGTCCAAAACTGACTTGAACCTTAATGCTAACATGTTGTTCCATCAATGCAGCACCTTTTGCACGACTGTTTCGCGGGTACATGCTTTTGATGATTTGTAAGTCTATTGTTGCTCAATATGATTTCATTTCGTTTTTGTAATCATGTGTACATATGTTTCACCTTTCTATTGCCTCATTCCATGATTTGCAATTTCAATAGATGAAAATGTAATGAGACTAAACATTTGTGTTGCTTAACTTTTTGCGAAGAGTATATGTCACGGAACAGATTGGTTAATCATCTCATTTCCATTATTCTTCTTTAAAGCCATATGTTAGTCGCAGTTAGACATTTAATGGTCCAGTTGGCAAACACATTCAGAATGCTACAGCTAGACTGTTGTGGCTGATTCATGGACCTATCATTTACATTTATTCCACTTTCGTATTTCCCCGGTGAAATAGGTCTGCTTCAGTATGCCTGACATCTCTGTCTATAAGTGCTTTTGGTAGATCCTGAAAAATGGGTAGACATCACATGGGATTCTGCAGGTGGGCTGTACACACATCCTGCCAAAGTAGTAATTTTTCCTACCACGCGTAATGGTGTTCCCTTTTACAATAACCACAACACAGCTTGGCTGACTGACGTTGAAGGTGTATGATGATGACTTCAAGTAGATATTTGCTGCAGTCCTGTGAATGATGTCCTCGTGTTACTGATCTCTTTAAAAATATTCCACAGCCATGATGATTGAGAGGAATCATTACTAGAGGGCCCTTTACCAGAGTACTGATTACCTTACAATAAAACTGCATGACTTGCTGGTTTGAACCACAGAGTAGATGAAGTTTACACACAGCCGCAACATGAACAGTAATGCCATGTTAATTATGGTTTTAGCAATTACAAAACTATTTCTTTAAGTGGCCTTTTTGGGGTTGGGAAGTTCAATATTGACAAAATAAGAGACTTTTGTCAATATTTTACAAAACTATTGATAAATAGAAATGTTCAAGAATGTTTTAAGTATTTCACTAAGGGTTTTCGTTTATGGCATGTACAATGTATTTGTGAGGTGAATACCTATTATCTATGTACACTGGCATGTTCTGCCGTGTAGAATTTCGGGATAAGTGTCTGAGACCTTGCACCACAGTGATCAACTGGGTACACATTGCGGCATGCTATACCCGCACCCAGACTGCCTGTCATTACAAGAACTAGACTCCGGCCCTGTTTCACAATTCAATCTGAGCGCTACGACAGTCCAACTCTAAGTTAAAGTATGGGAGTTACGATGATCGATTTGTTGAACTATATTTCCTAGGGACTTCTTATGAACGGAACATTTTGTACAACGTCATCTATGGAATTCCAGAAGGTACATAGTCGCGTTGTCGCCTTTTCAGAAGCAAACAAAAAGTTCAAAATTCCAAAGATTGAGAATACTACCATGCGGCGACGCGACATTTCGACCATTTGTTTCGCTGTGAATTATAATTCATATTTTCATAATAGTTTGGCAATGTGACAACAGAACAGTTTTCGAGGTCGCATTGACACCCTTAAATGTGTAAAAAGAGCGACAACGCAAACCCTTCTATGATTCCATGGGACTTCGTTGAATGTCTGTATGTTTAAGATCCACATGACAACTTGCAATTGGACATGAAACCTGAGGCTGAAGCATGCTAGGTACATACTAGTTCAAGGTCGAGCAAGAAGTAATTATAGTGTTAGATGAATATGAATCATATCAAATTATACCAAACTTGTATGTGCAGAAAACAGATCATGTACTATTTATGTAATTACAGAGACACAAATTTTTCAAATTGTTTCTGAATATGCACCTTTACGTGGTATCACGAAGGTAAAACGGTTGATGAGATGGCGTCTCTGTTCTGGTAAATATCCCTGTACTAATACCATTAATCAGACCCGTCCAATGCCACTAATTCCGGCAGATCCATTGGGTAACACGTTTACACCTTAATACCGACCCACACATCCGCCGTTACCAACAGGCGCTGACCCATCCCTGAACGCTCATCTAGTTCGCGCTCTTGTATATTAACCCTCAACATCATAAGATTTTAAAAGTGAAAAGCCACTACTTAAATATATAACCAATTCCAAGATTTCATAACAACCTCCAGATTCACCATTACCAACATTCACCGACTGATGAATGAACGCTTATCTATTTCGCGCTCCGGTATAACCTACAAGTTCAAATTCAATAAAACACCTTTTAAGACTTCAAAACAAATCTTCCACATTCGCGGTATCCAACATTGATTGATCAATGAAAGTTCATCTATTTCGCACGCATGTTAACATTAACACAATTCTGGTTTTGTGAGACAAATTGACCATAACCTTCTGGTTGTTTACGTGTGTGTCTCGTGGTATTAATCCAAATCTAATTCCAGAAGGGGAATCGCACACAGTAACACAGACGCTAAGACGCTGGATATGCCAATAGACAAGTAAAGCTTCTGTTATTCCTGGAGGTAATTGTAACTTCCGTAAACTAAGAGTCTGATATAATTTTAGAAGTTATAAATTTGCGTCAGTGAACATATATGTTGCGCCAATAGTTTAGTAAGCTAAACAATAGTTATCAGTTACCGTTTTGTAAATCCCGTACACTACTTTCAATTTCCTGACAATGTATATTCACATTAATGTGTTTGTTTTTTGTACGCTGTTCCTGTAAGAAGCTTGTGGTGTTCGTCCGGGAGATTATCTGGGATCAGTTAGTGTTAGTGGATATAACACCATGTACCGCGGGGAACCCGGTGGGGTGTATGCAGTACAGTGCAGAGTGATGTTTGAATGGAGATTCCCCGACTGACAACTACAAACACTCGACTTGATCGTCAATTAGTTCAGGTGTTAACCCAATCATCACCACGGTATGGTTGCGAGCACTGTGGAAGATGAGTCGAAATGCAATGTAGACTGACAGTAAAGATTTCACCTCACTCAACAGAAAATTTATAATCTCTTTCAGGAGAATGAGTACCGAGGAAACTCCGCCTCAGCTAAAAATGTTGTTTTTCTTAAAGATGCCTGCTCTTTATCGCTTTCGATCTCTGTGAATCAAGTTACGCCAATTGTGCCTGAAGTAAACGTCTAACAAGAGTACTGAAAAGGTCTGCCATTCTTCTATTTAAGAAACGAGTTGAATATGCATACAGTTAAACAAATGTTATGTCCAGCATGAAAAGGCCGACTGTTCTGCCAGTGTATTTCAGAAAAAGCTGTATGTAAGAACCTGAAGTAAATGCTAATAACCGTTTTGTTTGTTGTTTAATTTCAAGTCACACAAAGGGATAGTCCAACATATATACACACGGAACAAAGTACCGCACACCAATGATTTTAACCCCCCATATAGCCATTTATATTCATATCAAAATTATATTAGTTTGTATGATTATTTTGACCCACTGAGCTTAGTCATGCACTTACTGCGATCATTAGGCAAATATCAAGTTTCAGGAAACTGCAGCTTGATAACTTGGAAAATGAATTTTTTGCGTTGTTGATAAGCAAATATGGGCCTCCTCAACTGACGACTGTTGAAAGATTGCAAGTTATTGCTGGGATGCTGACCTATCATTGAAGGCCAATGTAAGATATGTTGGAAATCTAATGACGTTTAGGACACTCCTAGTGAGGATACACACCTTCTTACAATCACAAGTCTTCACTCGTTCATGTCCAGTGGTGTGTTAACAACAGAGTGGCTTACACATCATCGTTTGTCCAACAGAACGGGCCGAAATCGTCTGGTAAAGAGCCAGACGTCCTAGCAGACGTCCTTTGTGATACCCAGAACACAAAGCAGCTTGGTGTCAAGTTCGACGTCACTGGAATTTTGACGTCATGAGGAAGGGTCGACTGGTCGGACGAAAGTCGATTTCTTTTGTTCACGAATGACGGCCGCATTGCAGCAACACTGCACCTGCACAAGCTGAATGTACAACAGTATATCACTGACATCCAAGACAAGCTTACTGTACCAAAGAGGCCGCAGCAACTCTACCTTGACCCGCAAAGAATCTCAATCCCATAGCACACGTTTGGACATTATGGAGAGATCCTCCGGTACAAAAACTGTATGTATTGGAAGGTGTCCGCCCGGGAAGTCGACAAATGAAATTTCAGTTATCCCGGGAAGTCGACAAACTGAGTCCCGGTTTGTAGACAGGTGCTGTACCGCTTTTGTCGACTTCCCGGGTAGTGTTTAGATAATTAAGTAGTGATGTTTTGAGAGTAATTGCCTGTGAACTGACATATTCTACAGGTGCTGTACTGCTTTTGTTGACTTTGGTTTTGTCGGGTAGTGTTTATATATTAAGTAGTGATGTTTTGAGAGTAAATGATATACTCCAGTGAGTATATCATTAGTGTTTAGATATCAATCTTTTTTACATTTTAAGAACAAAAGAACAAAGTCAATGATAATCCTTTGCTCAAATCTCATGACTTTGGATTGTTTTAGTAAATCGGTTATTGAGTTAAAGCAATTAGTATCGTTGGTGAATATAAGTCAGTTGCAGAATGAATTCATCACCAAGTGCGAAATCGGCTACGCCGGTTGTGTTTGTTAAATCTCCAAAGAACGAACGAACGAAAGAACGAAGGAATTCTTCCTATCATTATGGCGAATGCTTTGGTACGTGTGATGGTAGACATCTCTATCATCAGGGATACAAGTTCAGAGTTAACAGAAGGAGGGCAGAGAAGACATACTGGAAATGTACACAGCCAGGGTGCAGTTCCCATGTTATGACAGTGGACGACATGGTCAACGCTGTTGGCAACGGTCACAACCGCCGTGCCCCAGACTACGTTACTGAAGTTGATGCATTCAAAGTCAAGCTCCACGATCGGGACAGATCTGACGCTTCAACCCACATTCCTCAGATCTACCAAGATGAAATTGTCAAGTTGCGGAGAAACCCAGATGTAGCACCTGACGCCCTTCTGAGACTGATTCCCAAATACGATGCCATGAGGACGAGTATGTACCGCCAGAGACACAAGACAGTACCAAGACTGCCCCAGACCTTACAGGACATCGACCTACAGGACCAGTGGACCAGGACAGAGGCAGGGGAAAGATTCTTACATCGACTGGAGGGACAGTCTCCTATCTTCATATTCACCACTGACCAGAATCTAGAACTGCTAAGTGATGCTGACGTCCTATTTGCTGACGGGACTTTCTCAACATGCCCTAGGCTCTTCGACCAGATATATTCCATCCATGCTGAATTCCAAGGACATATGTTGCCACTCGTGTATGGACTCATGTCAGACAGAACCGAGGACTCATACACACGGATGTTTACCTATCTGAAGCAGACCTCGGCGAACCTAGGACATCAGCTGGTACCAACAACTTTCCAGATGGACTTTGAGCGTGCGTCCCACAATGCTGTTGCTGTTGTCTTCCCTGGAACCCAGAGACGTGGTTGTTTTTTCCACTACACACAGTGTATATGGCGTCGTGTCCAAAAGATCGGACTAGCAACTGAATACAAACACGATGAGGATGTAACCAAGCTTGTGAGACGAGCGGCTGCACTTCCCCTTGTGCCCGAGGACAAAGTTGAAGACGTTTGGGTAGACGCCATCGGTAATGCTCCTCAAGGTGAAAAGGCAACACAGCTGATGGACTTAGTCACGTCAACCTGGATCGAAGGCTCTTGGCCACTGTCTATGTGGAACCACTTTGGCAATGATGGACATCGTACCAACAACAATCTTGAAGGCTGGCACCATAAAATAAACAAATTTGCAAAGAAAACCCATCCGAACATCTATGAACTCGTACGTCTCATTCAGAAAGAACAGTCAGTGGCTGAGGTTAAGATCTAGCAGATCCAAGGACATGGCAGAGGGCCTGTTAGGACGAGGAAGTATCGGCAAACTGACATGAGAATCAGATCTCTGAAGGATGACTTGATCGCCCAGAGACTCTGTGAGATGGACTACACAGATCACGTCTCGGAACTCCTTCACCTGGGATAGACATTGCAGACTGTTGAGACCTAAATGCTTGTTCAGCTGTATTAATACTAGTTTTCAATCATATGAAAGACTGATTTATACATTTTACACGTGTTGATCATGCTCATTGTATGCGTTATATTTGTTTGAAACATTTCGCATATTCAGATACCATTGAATGTTTAAACCAGTGCTAATCCTTGCTGTGTTCACTGTTTGACCAGCCAAGCGCAACAATAGTCCGCGATGCCCGCAGAGTCGACACTAATTTTGGGTGGTAAATCTTCATTTGTCGACTTCCCGGGCTTGAACAAGAATGGAACGTATGGGAAGTCATATTCAACATCTGATAAGTATGGAGGGTCAGGGATGTTATTACAGTCGCCGGGGCTACACCAGATATTGGCATTGTGCTCGGTTATTGGTGTTCATGTGGTTTCTTGAGGATTGCATGTCAGTATCTTAAAAATAAAACACGTTGACGTCATGCGACCATAGCTATCGGCAATACAAAGTGAGACACTTCTCTGAAAAAAACTAGAACTTTTCATTTTAGATTTGTCTTTTAATTATTCCTTGAGGTCCAGTGTATTTAGATAGTAAGTTAAAGCGAGGTTTGGATAAGTTCCTGTGTTATGGTACTAGTAACATGTTGATGATATGAAAAATATAGGTGTTGCGATACATTGTCCCATTTTCCATTTATAATTCGAGTCTGGGCCAACATTCCAAAGCTTGACATCGCAAACATCGGTTCACGCAATTGGTGTAAAGATTCATATATAAACAACCAGTGACCAAGTTATCTATGTAGTCAGCCAAAGACAAACATTGACTGCTGAGGTCTCAATATCCACACGGTTACGCCAGTACGTTTTGAAGCGAGCTCGATGAAAATATGTTTTGAAGCTAACGGGGACGAGTGCAATAATGATAAAACGCAATGGATATAATTTATGGGAACTGTAAATTCTGAGCTTCAGTCCTTAGTTTTCAATTGGGCGAATCAGTTTCCTTTTGAATCAGTTTACTGAAGACGTGTCAGTCAGGAGGGTGTGCAACTAGATTGCTCTGACTGTGCTGTTCAGGGAATAACTAGTGTGGTTCCTGTTTATTCACGCTGCAATACATCTACAGTGTCTCGCAGAACCGCACACATACAGTCCGAGCGAGGATCACGAAGCAGATTGGTTACTCATTCCATGTCCATCACTCACTTCTGACTCTTGTTTCTATTCGTGTCATATGCTAGGCGCAGTTAGACAATTAATGGTCCACTTCACCTGCAATCCAGATTGCTACAGGTTCCTGTGGGGGCTTAATATGCTCATTCGTAACATTTATTCCAAAACAAAAGACATTCGTGTCGTATTTTCCTGGTTAAATAGGTTTGCTTCAGTACGCCTGACATCTCTGTCGCTAAGTGCTTTTATTAGTTCCTGAAAAATAGGTAGACATCACATGGGATGCCGTAGGTGGGCTGTAAATACCTCCGTGCCAAAGTAATTATTTTCCCACCACGCCTAATGGTGTTCTCTGTTTCGGTAACCATAACGCACCTTGGCTGACTGATTTTGACGGTGTATGATGGTGGCTTGAAGTAGACATTTGTTGCAGTACTGTGAATGTTGCCATTCTCATGTTACAGATCTGTGTTTCCAACGCAGGATTGATGTGTGAGAAGAAACATTGTGCGAAGTGCCCCTTACTGGAGTACAGATTAGCGTACAATAAAACAGCATGACTTACTTGTTTGTGCCACAGAGAAGATGAAGCTTACATAGAACCGGAACGCTTTTGGCAACTAGTTACACCGACATCTATGGAATCCAAAAAGGGACATCGTCGCGTTGTCGAGTTTACAAAAACAAGAAACATTGTCAAAGAGTAAAAGGGCCACCATGCTATAACGCGACTGTTTCTAGCACCGTCGGAACTCTGAATCATAGTTCATATTTCACCAACGTTCGGTAATGCGACAGCGCGGCATTTTCCAAGGTGTCATTGACGTCCAGTTTTAAATGAGTAATGTGATCGACAAGGCGACAATCTCCGGCTCTCTTCTATGATTCCAAAGGAATTTGTTGAAGCTCTGTATGTTAAAGATCCACATGACTACTTGGATATGAGACCTGAGGTTGAAACATGATAGGTGCGTACTACTTTTACAAAGGTTAAACAAGAAGTCATTCTAGTGGCATATGAATATGAATTGTTTTAAATACCAAACTTGTCTGCGGAGAAAACAGATACTATTCAGAAATTCTAAGGGATATTGTTGCAGTTGTGTCAAATTCTGTGCCGAATGCAGTTCGGCTCTTATTATTGACTTGAACATACATAAGTATGCTATGTTATCTCACAAGTCATAGATTATACATATAAATTAGAAATCAACCTTTATATGAACATAAGAAATCAGAAAGTAATAATAATAATAATTCATGAACTTCTATAGCGCATCATTCACAGTCCTATGCTCTGTGTTCTTAGCAATTGAATGCCTGTGAGCAGAGAAAGGTCTTTAGTTGTGACGTGAAAGATTCAAGTGAAGAGGCAGATTTCAGGTTTTCGGCTAGACAGTTTCATTTCTCTGCAGCTGCACATTTCAATGTTCTCTTACCAAAGGTGGAGGTCTCAATTGTCCATTCAGTCCATTGTACGCTTCCGTTTATATAATGGGCATGTATTTATAATTCGAATGGTGAAGACAAAGGTGCACATCATACCCCATTGGCGGTACAAAACACATGCACCTACATGACATGTACACTTTTCACATACAAGAAAATTGCACAAGCCAAAATAGGTAAGTGCATCATGCATAATTGTAGTCAGTGAGGCTTCAAAGCTGGAAATGGCCTTCACATGCCATCCAGAAAACATTTTGAAAGCTTCACGGAGGCCTGTAATGTTGTAATTCTAATAATCGTGCGAACCTCATGGTAGAAAGGGATGTCTCACTTTGTCTGCACCTATTTTTATGCCAATTGATAGATGAGGTGCTATTACAGGGGCTATTTATAGATTTACTCGAAGTCCTCCATCGTTCTTTTTCGTTTCATTCTATTTAAATACACAAAGGCCACCTCCTCCTTTTTGTTCATGAAAATAATCGAAACACATACACACGCACAACTTTGAACTATACATTCATCAATAGTATTGGTTAAAAAACAATTTAATTAAAATTGAAATAACTATAATCGTTTAAGATATATGCTTATATAGTCAATATACTGAAATAGTCAATATATGATTATATATAGCCTGTAGTGGTGATGTGTATATACAGAGAGAGTATGGGAACTACTGAGAATACATGTATATACATGTATTTCTCACAAACCAAACCTTGTTATGTTTGTGGTATATCAAACAAGTGAACGGGTTTTGTATCCTGCGTAAGAACAGGGGATATTGTCAATATCATACATCACTGTCCACGTGTCCTTCTAATGTGCGCAAGGGGCGGTGGGGGAGCCTAGTGGTTGAAGCGTTCGCTCCTCACGCCGAAGGCCCGGGTTTGATTCCCCACATGGGTACAATTTGTGAAGCTCATTTCTGGTGTCCCCCGCCGTGATATTGCTGGAATATTGCTAAAAACGGCGTAAAACCATAATCAGTCAGTCAGTCAGTCTAATGTGCGCAAAGTGCGTCTGAGCGCTTACTGTGCAAAATGTGAACGATTAGCACAACTTCCTGAATGCACAATCTGTGAACTAATATGGAGGCAGAGAAACTATTTGGTGATCAAACTCAATGATTTGGGAACTGCTACATGGTCCCCGTTCGTTCCATTTTCTCTTTGTGTCGGTGAATAGTGTATCCTATTTTGATATTGTCTGTAAAGATAAATGAATAATTCAGAAGTAGTGGCACCAGAGGGTCAAAGTTTGCATATAAGCCATCACATTTATGCAATTATTGAGACACATTAGTTCAAATTGTTTCTGAACATGCATGTTTACGTAGTATCACGAAGGTATGAAGGTTTGATAAGTAGCTTTAGAACAGCGTTCTGTTGGTATGAGATGGCGCCTTAATCCTGGTAAATATCCCTGTACCAATACAATTAATCAGACCCTGTCGATGCCACTAATTCCGGCACATCGGATTCATTGAGTAACAAACTTACGCCTCAATAACAACCCCTACATCCGCCGTTACCAACATCCACTGACTGATCAATGAAGGCTCATCTGCTTCGCATTCTTGTATGAAAACATCATATGATTTTAAAAGTGGGGACAAACTTCAAGCCACAACTTAAATAAAACACCGATTAAAAAAATTTCCATAACAACCTCCAGATTCGCCGTTACCAACATTCACTGACTGATCAATGAACGCTTATCTATTTCGCGCTCTGGTATAACCTACAGCATCATATGATGGTAAAATTGAATACAGTCCTTCAAGCCACTACTTAAAACACCTTTAACGCCTTCAAAACAATCCTCCTCCTCCACGTATCCAACATTAATTGATTAATGAAAGTTCATCTATTTCGCACGCTTGTTAACATTAACAAAATTAGGATGTTTTGTGAGACAAGTTGCCCATAACCTTCTGGTTGTTTACGTGTTTGTCGGGTGGTATTAAACCAAATCTAATTCCAGAAGGGAATCACATACAGTAACACAGACGCTAAGACGCTGGATATGCCAATAGACAAATAAAGCTTCTGTTATTGCTGGAGGTAATTGGAAATGTCGTAAACTAACAAGGCTGAATGTAATCTTAGAAGATATATATTAGCATCCACCAGGGAACATATATGTTGCACCAATAATTTAGTAAGCGAAACAACAGTTATATATATAGTTAACGTTTTGTAAATTCCGTACAATAGGGTTCAATTGTAC